ATCGATCTTATCTTGGAAGTTATTAATAGAAACATTATTTCTTTTATATTGAAAACAACAAATGGTTTTGTACACTATGGATTTGTGTTAGACGTTTTGCCAAAATATAAAAGAATTGCTGAATTCAATATTATTTATTTTGTTCATATCGTCAAGTTTAACCAGTTTTTCAACCACCACTTCTTGGTTAATGAGACTTTTTCGAATACATGAAAAATTACATTTTTTTAAATGTATAAAGTATTTCTATTACGAACCTCAGAAATATAAGTTTATTTATGTTTTAAGGATATAATAATATACATATTCAACCAATACACCGAATATTATGAATTTCCATTTAAGAAAAATTATATTCACCAATTTTTGAATTTAATTTCTTTCTTTAGGCAAATTCAAACAAAATAACAATACGTCGAGTAAAACTGCCAGTCATGAAATTCATTACTATTTACGATGCGGGCGTGGTATTCACGGCCATTGGCCAGTAGCTATTACATAATGAATATTTTGTCTCTAGAGTTAGAATTAAATACATGTCAAATATATAAGGGGTAAATGTTTCAGAATTTCCTTTTACCCTTAAGATAGAAAATGTTTTATTTCTGTTATTATAAGTGGTTTCGAAAGAATTACATTCAGTAATGGCCGTGTCGAAAATGTTTTAAAATAGTTATAGGATTTCCTTTGTAATATATTTTAAAAAACTGTGAAATATACAGGGTGTTCCTTTACACCGAGACAGCTTATATGTCAATGTTTTTAAATGACGCCTTGCATATTTTTTGCCATTGATTTGATCATAAAATTTTGCGTCTTATATTATTTTTTTTTGTTTAATACTGTAATGACAATTTATAGCAAAAATGTGAAAAATTACTAAATAAATTGTTAAAGTAAAATGAAGGGTCCAGGGGAATAACGATGAAGGTCACAAAATTTCGAAAAGGAGATATTCACAAAGTTTATTTTAAGTGTTTTTATTTGAACACAACTAATATTTACAAACTGGTGGTAAGAAATATATCGTAATAATAGAAAGTTTTTTATAATGGTAAACTTATACAAATTCAAAAAGAAGGGGGAAACAAATAAACTATTTAACCCTGGAATGCTACTTGGGGTACACTTGTACCCCAACACTTTTGAAATCTGGCGCTAAACGGAAGTGGGCAGGGCAACGAACGCCAGTGTCTCATTAGTTTCAGTACGCGGCAAGTCAGTTCGCATGCGACAATCGAGATATACGCAGTGTTTCTTGTTTTTGTAATACGTGTTAGAGTGAGATAATTTAATAAGAGTGAGTATCTGTTTCTTTGTTTGTTTTTTATTACTTTGAAACTATTATAGTTTATTTTTTTATAGTACCTATATAGATTTTTTTTCTTAGGCTACCGGAATAATGGCTGGTCAGAAGAAGTTCTTTGACCTTACAAAATCTGAAGACATAGATGAAATTCATCGCATTCTCTACGAGTCTGAATCAGAGAGTTCTTCGGATGACAGCGACGAGAATGATGCCGTTATACCTGATTTTAGAGAGGAACCCGAAGAGGATGATATACGAGTACGTGTAATTCATGCTAATCCTACACCTTCTACCACACCAGGTCAAACCCAGGATACCTCGCCATCTGATGCGGATTCGGAAGATGACAACGTACCATTGGCAGAAATACAGGCGACTAACATAGATATGGTAAAAATTTTACCAGTTCCTACCAAACTAAGGGGTAAAAATGGGTTTATGTGGTCAGGGAAGAAAGGCTCAATTCATCGTACACCAAAAAGAAATCTCGTCTTGCATTTACCTGGAAACAAAAACGAGGCAAAACATATAAAATCGGAAGCTGAGGATTGGAAATTATGTTTCACAAAAGAAAATCTAGATAAAATCACACAATATACTAATAACGAAGTGCAAGTTCAACGATTGAAATATGGAAATAGAAACCATGACAGAGATGCTGACGGAGATGACAATACGGTAGGTAAGAGACCCTCTTGGACCAAGGATACAAACAGTGTTGAACTTCAAGCACTTTTTGGACTATTTTATTATGCCGGTGTTATGAAAATGTCTGGAGTATTTACGAAGGAACTATTTGATAAAGACACAGGAATACCTATATTTCGTGCTACCATGCCCGAGGCACGTTTCAGGTTTTTGATAAACTGCCTCCGCTTTGACGATAAAGAAACCAGAGCTCAGCGAAAAGAAACCGACAAGCTTGCAGCTTTTCGAGAGGTATTTGAGAGGTCAATCAACAAAATGAAGGAGCTATATGTTCCCTCAGAATATATAACAATTGATGAACAATTGGTTGGTTTTAGAGGCAGATGCCCTTTCAAAATGTACATCCCTTCAAAGCCCAATAAGTATGGAATCAAAATTGTGATGTCCTGTGATACCAAAACCGCTTTTGCACTTGATGCTGAAATTTATATAGGAAAAGGTTCCACACCAACCGATGTTCCTGTCGCTCAGTATTATTGTAATAAACTAACCAGTTCTTTTCAAGGAACAAATAGGAACTTGACCATGGATAACTGGTTTACTTCTGTTGAGACTGCAAAACAACTTCTGGAGAAAAAAATTACCGTTGTGGGTACTATGCGGAAAAATAAAAAAGAAATTCCAGAGTCGTTTTTAAAACTCAATGAGAGGGAAATAAATTCTGCTATGTTTTGCTACAGTGGACACCTAACACTGTTATCATACTGCCCACCTAAGAAGACTAAGAAAAAAACTGTAATTATGCTTTCGACAATGCACGAAAAAGGTGATGAGTCATAATACTACCAAGTTACCAGAAATTATTCAATTTTATAATTCTACTAAAGGAGGAGTCGATACTTTAGACCAACTGTGTCATACTTATTCTACTGGTAGAAAGACACGTCGCTGGCCATTATGTCTGTTCTATAATTTGTTGGATATTCTGGGATATAATTCAATGATTCTTTTGCGTGGCTCTGGCGAAGCAGATAAAGAAATTATTACCAACAGGAGAGAATACCTGAAGAAGCTCGCCCTTGAACTGGTCAGACCGCACTTGATGAGTCGTTTGGAAACTCCAACTTTGAGACGCGAACTCCGCGAAACCATATGCAGGGTCCTCAAGATAACTGCTCCTGAAGAAGTACCTACTAAGCCACCAGCAACAGTGGGTAGGTGTGCTTTTTGTCCCAGAAGCGAAGATCGAAAATCAAGAGTAAGCTGTGCAGTGTGCAAAAAGTTCATTTGTTTACAACATCAAAAAAAAATTTGCTCGGTTTGTGCCGAATGACTAATTCATAATGTGTTCGCGTTAAAAGTGTTTCTAGAGACTTAGTTTAAGTTGTTATTATCCTATAAGTGAATAAATTTTTTGTTTGTCAAATATACGACATATTTTATTTGGGGTACGCTGGTACCCCTGTGTAGCAGATGCGTGTTCTGCAATAAGTGTAGCATTCCAGGGTTAAATATTCACTACTTTTTATGCCAAAATAAAAAATCTGATGTGTCCAGCACATGACTTTCCTATCTAGTTATTATAGAATTTTTCCGATTATTTTGTACAACCTATTGTAGCACCTCTATAAATATTTAGAGGATAAACTAAATATATACATTTTCCACATACATCTAACTCGAAACATTTTTCTATAGATATTTATTGAAAACGAAAATACTGAAAAATTTAAATTTAGCACTTTTCCTTCAATACGGTCCATTTAAAAAAAAAACATATAAAAACAAAAATTATAGAGATCGATATCACAAATAACTTTTATTTAAACAATTTTCCTAAAAATTTGAATTTTATTTCATTTTGTCCAATTTCTCGAATACGGACCATTTAAAAAAAAATATATGGAACCAAAATTATAGATAATAATATTGTAAGTAATTTTTATTTGAACAATTTTCTTCTCCAAACATAAATAACAGATATATTCCATAAAATATAAAAACGGCCTCCCATAAAGTACCTCCCCAAATGTTTCGCCTTTGTCCAAAATCTAATAATTTCACCTCAGGCCGAAATAAAACTTAAGTTTAAAATTTAATGTTTTTTCTTCATCCGTTTTTGAGTTTTCTTCAAAATTCGAAATTTATACATCTTTTCAAATATCTCGAATACGGTCCATTTTAGAGAAATTATGTATGGGATAAAAATTATAGATAATAATATTATAAGTAACTTTTATTTGAAGAATTTTCTTCTCCAAACGTAAATAACGGATATATTTCATAAAATATAAAAATGACCACTTATAAAGTACCCCCACAAATATTCCGACTCTGCCCAAAATCTAATCAGTTCACCGCAGACTGGAATAAAGCTTAAGTTTAAAATTTGATGTTTTTCTTTGTATCGGTTCATGAGTTATGGTGGATACAGACACACACACTGACACACAGACACACACACACACAGACATCATTCCGAAAATAGTTAAAACGGATTCAGGGGACCCCAAAACGTAAAAATATACATACAATGTACATGTTGTTTATCCTCCTCCCTTGTACCCATCTACGAATGCTCCCATCACCGCGGACATAGTACATGTTGTTTATCTCCCTCTCTTGTACAAATAGCAAGCAAAAAACACGACGTGCCACTTTCTTGCAGTTAGATGAGGGAGTATAAGAGAAACATTGTATTTACTCGCACTAATGAGGTTCAATCCTACTCAACGAAGTCTAACAAAAACAATGCCCTATTAATTTCTACATGATTCAAAGTCATTATAGGTTAAAAAATTATGTTATTTAACGTGTCGTTTACTTTTGCAACGTTTTAATAATTTATAACAACTTTTTAAAAACTTTTGCACTTGGGGCAATAGCTAACGAAAATACCCAAAAGGACTAAACAATTTGAATTAGTGATGTAAATTAACTAAAATATAAAAGCAAGACAAACATATTAAAAATGTATATATTTTTGTTTTAATTAACAGTAATAATATTATTATCTAATAATAATAATAAATAATAAACTTACCAATACAAATCCACCTTTAATACAACCATAATTAGCGACCAATGCTTCAACAGAATTATTAACGATTATACCAATTTTGTCGCCTCGTTTTAATCCACTATCATACAAAGCAGCAGCAAAATTATCGGTTTCTTCAAAAAATTCCTGTGTTGTTAACGTTTTCTTTTGTTCAATAGAAGAAATAATGATAACGTCTTCAAATTCATCTTTCAATTCTTCGACAAATCCTCCTACAGTAATAGGACGTAGTGGAACATCAGTTGGACCCTTTAAGTAACTTAATCCTTGATCCATGATGTTAACTTATTTGTAAAATCTATTACGAGACTGAAAGTATATTTATGTTATTTAAAATTTAGGCAGGAACACAAATATTCTAATCTGTTATAATTTATTTCAGTAATTTTTCATCTTAAAGGGAAGTAATAAGGTAACCATAGGCGTACGTAAAAATATTCTAGGGTATATTTAATAATTATTAGTTACAATCTATTTCTAAAAGTGGATCCTACTAATAAGGCGCTATGAAATCAATAAAAAATCAATTCAGAATGGTATCTAATTGTATTTTTTCCACGCACGTCTGCAAAAAGAGTCGATTTTTTTATCTAGACATAAAACTATTACCTTATCCTTTTTATTCGCCTGATTTGCTCTTTTTTGATATTTTTCTGTTTCCCACAGTCAAAAAGGTGAGCACTAATTAATTTCTATGACTAATTGTGATAAAATAATTATTTTTTACCTTCTTAGAATTTAAGACAGAACCACGTTAGTTTCTTGAACATTCTACGGCAATGTCAACTCTGTTTCTGAAAATACAACATTAACTACGATTACTATGTAGAACAATATTACAATAAATATAAACAATAATATAACCTTTTGACAAATTAAAGTTTGACCTTATATCTTAAAACGACATTTATTAAACAATATATATTTTGTTCAAGTATCTTTTTATTATTTACATAAACTATGAGTATACATATGCTATATTTAGAATTTTAAGGTTGGTTGGTAAATTTAAAAGCCTCTTATTGGTTTTAATGTGTTCATCCTTCATAAAGTCAAAAATTAGTAAAGATGAGGGTCTTATGTGTGTAGTAGGAATTGAATTTTACTGCATTTAAATTAGGTATCAATTTAAGTGTGCCTGAAGATTAAGTAACTACTTCAAAACCGGTCACTAAATAAACAACTCTGTGAGAAATAAAGGATATTCTTATTCAATAAAAAACGAGTTTCTATATTCTTATTGAATATTAGATATATTGCTGAAATTTCATTTTTATAACCAACCTACCAATCTGAACTAAGGAAACCAAATTTGGCGGCCAAAATGCTGAATGACCAGTGGCGTCACTCCCAGCTTAATGAAATATGTTGAAATAATATTTCTGTATTTGGGTCATTCTTCAAAAAGTGGCAAAAACCAGGTTACAGGAAAATATTTATGGGAAAAAAAGAGACTGGATTTTTCATATAAGGTAGGTGCGGTGAATATGCCCATGCAGGTAATATGCACACCCGCTGCCATTTTAAAAAGTTTAGCTTATATGCTAATAGAGGGCGACCAACGCGTTAAGATTTTGCACTTACAGCGGTACAAGTCAAATCAGTCTCTGCTAGTCTTTGCCCAGTGGCTGAAAATGAATCACCCGTTTTGAGCGCTGTCGAGTATAACAATAACACGTGTTTAAAAAGAGTGTAAACTTCGTGTGTGTTTGTTTACAAAAATTGTAAGTAAAGCATTTTAAAGTACGTCTATTTACCATTTTATTAGTATATAATTTTAATAAAAATACTTTGAAATTAACCTTCAAAACCTAAAAAAATACATAACCTTTCTCTGTTGCTAATACGCCCATCGTCATCGGAAGCAAATATGCCCATATGGGCATATTACCTTCGGTTCGTAGTGGAACGTTTATTATTAGTTTAAATTTTTGTTTTACAGATGTCACCTTATAAAACAAAAGGAATTCGGTCTCAGTGGACGGAGGAAGACCTTAAACGCGCCCTTAGAGCGGTAGAAAACGGAGAGTCGAAAAACTCAGCATCTAAGCAATATAAAATACCGCGAAGGACTCTTAAGCGTTATATTGACAAAAAGGCTAACGTAAAACAGCCACTTGGTAGAAAAAGTGTTCTGAATAAAGACCAAGAAACAGAATTAGCGGCCCGAATTATCAGGCTGGCGCAGGTGGGTTACCCACTTACAAAACGAATGCTTCGAAGATCTGTGTATCATTATTGTGAGCAAAACGGTTTACCTAACATGTTCTCACAAGAAAAGCGTCTAGCTGGCCGTCACTGGTTAAAAGTATTTTTAAATAGACACCCAGAGATTTCTCCTAGACGGGCCCAGAACATGAACCCGGCGAGAGCACAAAAGCTCAACAAATATATTGTTTCCGATTACTTTGACAAGCTTAAAACAGTGCTTCTCGAACTGGACTTAATAGATAAACCTGAAAGAATTTATAATATGGATGAAAAGGGGTGCAGGTTAACATTACATCATCAGCAGACTATTCTAGCTAAAAATGGCATAAAAAGGGTTTACCTAGTGGCACCAGAACACGCGGAAAATGTTACTGTCGTTGCTTGCGGTAACGCCAGTGGAGGAAGAATTCCCCCAGCCATTTTATTCAAAGGCATAAGGATGAAAAGCGAATGGAGTGACAACTTGCCACCCGGAACTCTAGTCCTCTTGACGAAGAAAGCAAGCATGACAATTGAATCATTTAACGAATGGCTAAAGCACTTTGGCAAATATAAACTTCCAGGCAACTGCCTTTTAATCTTTGATGGCGCATCTTGCCATTTAGATCCTTCTATTGCTGAAACTGCAGACTCTTATGGCATCACCTTTTTATGTCTCCCAAGTAATACGACACATGAACTGCAGCAAATGGACAAGGCTGTATTTAAATCTTTCGAACATCATTGGGATGAACAGGTACTTTTATACTGGACTCGCCACAATGACCGAGCTATAACCAAACAAAGGTTTGGGGAGCTCTTCTCTATCGTTTGGGACAAGTCAGTAACACTCCAAAATATAACATCAGGTTTCTCTGCTACGGGTATCTATCCGTACAATCCAGATGCTATTCCCGAAGTAGCTTTTGCTCCTAGCATTTTAACGGAACGAGATAATAACATGGAAGAAATTAACAGACTAGAAGAAAGACAAGAGCTTAGAAGGGAAACCACACCCCAACCTGGACCCTCTGGATGTCAACAAAGGAATGACCGAAGCACCATAGAAAAAACTCATCCGTCAAAGATCTCCAATTATCCTGAATATTTTGGACAAAAACGCCAGAGTAAGAGAAAACGGTCATCATCAAGTAGCTCCTCATCAACAGATGATAATATGTCTTTATACAGCGAGACCTTAACAGAAACGTTCTCTTCGGAAGACGAGGCAAAACTTGATGACGAATCGGCAACATTGGATGACGAAGAGGCTAAAAGGCCGAACATCAGAGAACAAAGGGCGTTAAAGAATTTAAAAATGGACGCAGAAAACCAGAAGTCAATCAAAAACATCCAGAGAGAAGATGAGGACCAAAAATCAAAGGACCCGCCTAAAGAGGAAGAAAATAACACAAAGACAAGAAACGATGCAGAAGAAAAGGTTTTGAACGTGAGTTTTACTGAAATGTTGGAGACACCATATAAAGATGTCCCAAAAACAACTAGAAAGAAAAAAGCTATTAACAGCAAAGCGCTTATTGTGAAAAAGGCAGTTTTTCCCACCAAAACCACAAAAAAACTTACCAAAGAAAAAAAAATCGTTCTAAAAGACGAAGATAAAGGAGAAAAAATAAAATCCAAAGAATCGTGGTACTGCAAAGCTTGTCAAGAAGACATAAAAAAGATATGCGATTGTGCTCGATGTGTTTAGTTTACTTTCACGAAGAGTGCGTCGGGCTCACCAAAGGTGATAAGACAGTTTTTGTTTGTTCAGACTGTGGCTAAGGTTGTCAGAAATTTTACTGTCTACTTACCAGTGTAAAGTAATGTTTAGTTTTTCAGAAATATTTTAATTTTGGGTTTGTTTATTAGTTTGTTATCCTTATGCATTGTTTTTCCGAAAAAATATACTTAACCGACGAAGGTTGTATGCTTTTGTTAAAATAAAATAATGGGTATATTAGGAACATGACATGGGCATATTAGGATCACCCTATGGGCATATTAACGACAGGGTTAGTAATACGCCCAGTATGACGCGTTTTTAAAAAAACGATATAAAAAAAATCTCAAAGAAAAAATCATCGATTTCTGTCCAAACATTACTTCTTTGAGTTTAAAGGTACGCTTTCTATAAAAAATCGAATTGAAAGGTTTGTCGTTTCTAATTTTTATCAAGGATTCTGCCTAATATGGGCATATTTACTGCACATACCTTAATATTTATTTTTATTACACTTTAGTTAAAACAAACGAAAAATAAAATTAAAACAAAAAAGTTCTTTTTGTTTTCTTGTCCACAGAACATGACATATCACGTCCGTGGACTGTTCCAATAAATTTATGAAAGTTCAATGTCCCTTAGATTTACAAAACTTACATTTACGTTAAAAATTGCCCTGAGCATGCACAAAAATATCTTACAACTTTCATTGCTGTTACCAAGTAATCGTCATGTCCGTGGATACAACTTAAAATTCAAAAATTCCGCCCCCGACTTGGTATTGCACGCGTACCTGCTAGGTGGCGCAGCAGTCATTTAATAATTCAACGCAATCAGTGTGTTATTTACACGATTAACGACCACATATTCCTGAAAATTAGTGACATTTTTGAAAAAACCTGTTTCGTCAAGCACATAAATCACGTCTGTGGAAGCCAAAAAAGATATGAATAAAAAATAGTTTGATTGTGAATGCATATTATATATACAAAAAAGTGAGTTAGATTTATTTACAAACGTTTAATAACCTAACTTCAAAAGCAACATTTGTAAAGGTTGTAGCCCAGTATATATACCAATCAGTATTGGCACTCTGAGGCGGCACGTTTGATCTTTAAAAGTAGAAATTTTAGTTGACACTTGACGTTTTCGGGATATGAAAAGTTTTCTTTACACGGACTTGGTATACCTGATTAGTTGAATTTTTGTTCTGCTGCTTTTCAAATTCGTGTGTATGAGGGAGATGTGAGATACCTTTATAGACAACGGTTGAACAACTTAATTACTTTGAAAAAGAAAATAGATTAGATATCAGGGCAGTCTTCGCAAATGTAAGAAGGACAGAACCGTCTTAATTTTTTTTATATATGTGAAATATTACTTTTTGGTGAAAAGTTTAGTTACTTTTAGTTCAAAATATAACGTTAGTTTGTCAAGGGAAATATATAACACACAAGGTTAAAGTAACAAAATAGAGGTATTGCTTTATTTCTTAAGAATTACTCTAATCTAAAACTTTTCTAGTATATTGTAAAAATTTATTCTATACGTTATTTAGGTACTGCAAAATCTATAGGAAAGTATGTAGTTTTAAATTTAAAAATTTGTAACGGAGACATATTTAGTGTAGTTTTTTTACAAATATATACTCAGTGACTTGTTTTTGTGAATGAGTTCAAGTATGGCAGACTAAAATCGTTATTTTTTATTATGAATTAATTTGAATTTATTTTAAAATGTGAACTTTATGTATATGGTTTTCGTAGTTTTTACACTTGTGATAAAAATATCAAAGTTATGTATATTGGCCATTTACTACACACAGCAAATTCATAGACACAATACATATTACTATTTGACATTCTTGTAAAACCACTAATTTAAAATTGACTTTAAACTAAGTGACTACACATAG